CTGAGCTGGAAATGTTTTGATGCCAGCATCTCACAGCCACTGTGATGTTGCATCCTAGGGCACTCCCAAACTAGCTTCAGTTTTCAGCCATGGTGTTGTTCTCTTTATTAGTATCATTGCCCTGCGGGGCACATGGCCTGTGTAGCCAGAGCCAAAAAAACATATACATAAACTCAACGTTGCACCTTTAACCAAAACACTCCTGCACACACACACAGAAAAAAAAATCTGAAATCAATGGCAGCCAAATGTTGAGCTTGCACTCACCACTATGCTATTATTCAGGAGTTAAAATTGTTCTTGAATGCATCAGTCGTGTGTGTGTGTGTGTGTGTGTGTGTGTGTGTATGTGTGTAACATTTCCATATGGACAACCTAATATTGTTTTTTGCTAAAAAAACACACAGCCCAACCATCAATGTATTCCACTTTTCCTAATCAGCAGCAAGGCCAAGGATGTCTCCATACATATTCATGGTGCTCTGGAGACTCAGAGAGAGGGTACATTTACAGCCTACATTTACCATATTACCCTTAATGGTATTAGACCAGCAAACACAATTTAACCAAATATAAGTCATACATAAGTAATTTAGAAAATGAGACAATATTAATTGTGCGATCGTCATCCAGTTTTAATCCCGTTTGTGTGATAGCACTTCAATCTCTGGAATTGAATGCGCCTGGCAGAATAAATTAGTACAATCAATGTATGACTACATTCTCCGTCGTGGACACACTCTGTGCAAATCTATGCAAATGTCTTTCTGAGGAGAGGATAAGAGAAACTCTTCTTAGCTAACAAAGCTCTTGATGATCACAGCCTATCTGACACAGTGGTGTGATGTCATTTTCATCCTCTCAGAGGAAAAGAAAGGAGAAAAAGGAAGAGAATAGCTATGATGAGGGATACTAAAAGAGATGGTTTTAAACTCTTTTCTGGGTAAATGTGTCACTGTCTACTTTGTCACTAACTGTTTTTCTTGATGCCTTTAAGCATTATATAATTTAGTCTACTGAAGAAAGCCAGGTAACTCACACATGTGCTATTATGACAGTTTTCTATTTTCTTCAAATGTATGTAGATATAATACGCAGTATTTGACAGAAACCATTATTTTTTAAACAACGTTTCAATATCAAGTTCATAGTTTTCCTCCTCCACTACCCATTTTCTCCTTCCTCCCTCCATTCAATTTCATTCTCCTCCTTCCGCCACCTTCTACTGCCTCTTCTCTCCTTCCCTCTTTTGCTTACTGCCTTCTCC